CTCAGCACCCCTAGACTCAGCACCCCCAGGCTCAGCACCCCCAGACTCAGCACCCCCAGGCTCAGCACCCCCAGACCCGGCACCCGTAGGCTCAGCAGCTCTAACAGCACCAGAGTCAACAGCTACCTCGAAAGGCTCGACTGCGTCTACCTGGGACACACCTGATGGGGCAGGACCCTGAGGGGGGAGGGGGTCTACCGAGGGAGGACCTGGCGCAAGGAAGAGCGGCGGCAGGGGAAGGGGCGCAGTGCGGAAGGGGAAGAGAAGGTAGTAAGGTACTGACTCGTCAAAGGAGACGTCCTGGGAGGACAGAACACGTCGCGAGGTGGGGTGGTAAAACTGCCAACTAGGCGCGTCAGGGGGGAAGCCAAGGAAGACGCAGGGAACAACACGGGGGGACAACTTGTCCGCAGACAACTCGCGGACAAACGCCCGAGATCCCCAGACCCGAAACGCAGACGCGTTGCCAACCTTCCCCGTCCACCGCAAGGTGGGGGAGGTCTCTGGCAAGGAGACCCGGGGCTGAAGGTTGAGCTGATGCACTGCGTACTGGACCGCAAACGGCCACAGAAAATGGGGGGCAGCCACATGGATCATGGACGTACGAGCGACGTCCATGACCATGCCAATGCGGCGCTCAGCAATCCCATTTTGCTGTGGAGAGGCCGGAAGCGTGAAGGTCTGGCGGATGCCCTGTGCACGACAGAAGGCTCCCAGACGGGCAGAGGAAAACCCCCCGCCTATGTCAGAGTGCAGACGCAGAACAGGAAAGTCTGAGCCAAAACTCTCTCTGAGCTGGAGACGAGCTGCGCGGATCCAGTCAATCAACACCTCAGTGACGTCACACTTGCTGCGCAAGGGGAAGACTGTGGTGTAACGCGAGTAGTCGTCAACCACCAACAGGAAGTAACGCTCGTGCCCCTGTCCACGGACGCGGGCGAGGCCCCACACGTCCATGTGAAGAGTCTGCAACGGAGCCTCTGTCGGAGGAAACTCGGAGGAGTGAGGAGCGGCGTGCTGTCGCCCCTCAACGCAGGGGACGCAGGTAGGGGCAGGTCCCGGAGGTAGAGGAGGGAGAGACCGGGGGAGACCAGAGATAAGGACACGGGCGGCCATGCCTCGGAGACGAGGCAGGGAGGGGTGACCAAGACGGTGGTGCAAAAGGAGAGTCTAGTGGGACAGAAGACGACAGGAGCATGGAGCAGACTCACGACCAGACCTGGACGCTGCAGCAAACACCTGACTCGACGCAGCTTCCTGGCCAGACTCAGCAGCCGGAGGAGACTCAGTAGTAAGGGTGTACAGGCTCGATCCTGGCCGACGGGTAAACGTGGCCAAGTGTCGGCCTGTCCGAGCACACGTGCAGTGGGTCACCCGCTGACTCGCAAGAGTCAACTGGTCAACCCCCCTATCCTGTAGGTCCGCTCCACTCACCAAGTTTGTAGAGAACGAGGGGAGATAGAGACCTGACAGAGTGCCAGAGGGGGCTGCTGGGCACGGTAAGACAATTGAGAAGCTAGCAAGGACAGGACCTCCAGAGGGGTCGCGAGGGAGACTGCAACTGGCCGACTAAGCGGCGTAAGCGTGGTGCGGTCTCGAAAGAAGGAGCGGGAAGCACCCGAGTCAAGGGTGAAGGTGTGTAAGGCCTGAGCCGACGTAGTACCTGAGAGAGCAGACTCACCAGCACCTGGGGCAGCAGACACACTAGCACCTGGGGCAGCAGGAGCACTAGCACCTAGAGCAGCAGCCTCACCAGCACCTAGAGCAGTAGCCTCAATGCCCGGGTCAGGCGGTACACACAAGTAACAGTCACCCTCAGCACTAGTAGACACAGCATACATGGCAGCACGGATAGCATCATAGTCAAGTTCAAAGATGGCAACCCCCGCCCTAGACAGATCTCCCCAACGAGGGATCTCTGACGCCTTAGGGAACTGGTGACGCCACGCGTCCGTCAGGCGGCCGAAGCAGCGCTTGGTGGAGTGCGGGCCCCCGCATTGCTCACCAGCGCGGTCGCCGGTACGGAGGACGTAAGTGCAAGGACCAGTACCCCCACCGCGCTGACGCGCAGTGTACCACTCACGAAGCTGGTGAGGGGACAGCGTCTCACGACTGCGCTGCTGCTGCTGGCGCGGACCACCACCGGACCCACTCCTCTGCGCAGAGTCGCGACCAGCTCCACCGCCGCCGCCGCCTCCGCCGCCTTCGCCGCCTCCGCCACCTCCGCCGCCTCCGCCACCTCCGCCGCCTCCGCTCCCTCCGCCACCACCGCCGCCTCCTGCGCCTCCACTGCTGCCACCGCCGCCGCCACCCCCGCCACCACTCCCACCACCATCCCCACCCCCTCCACTGCCTCCCCCACCACCTCCACCGCCCTCGCTAGCCCCTCCAGCTCCCTTGCCCCCCTTGCCCTTGCCGGTGCGGCGTCTCCCGCTAGGGGCAGACGCAGCGCCAACCCCGTAGAAACCAACGAGGTCGGCCGCAGCAGCAGAAGCAACAGAGGGCAAGAGGGGGGAGGGGGAACACCCCTCAAAGAAGGGGGTGCGAGGGTCGCCGGTACGGAGGACGTAAGTGCAAGGACCAGTACCCCCACCGCGCTGACGCGCATTGTACCACTAACGAAGCTGCAGAGGGGACAGCGTCTCACGACTGTGCTGCTGCTGCTGGCGCGGACCACCACCGGACCCACTCCTCTTCGCAGAGTCGCGACCAGCTCCACCGCCGCCGCCGCCGTCGCCGCCGCCGCCTCCGCCGCCTTCGCCGCCTCTGCCACCTCTGCCGCCTCCGCCACCTCCGCCGCCTCCGCTCCCTCCGCCACCACCGCCGCCTCCTGCGCCTCCACTGCTGCCACCGCCGCCGCCACCCCCGCCACCACTCCCACCACCACCCTCACCCCCTCCACTGCCTCCACCACCACCTCCACCGCCCCCGCTAGCCCCTCCAGCTCCCTTGCCCCCCTTGCCCTTGCCGGTGCGGCGTCTCCCGCAAGGGGCAGACGTAGCGTCAACCCCGTAGAAACCAACGAGGTTGGCCGCAGCAGCAGAAGCAACAGAGGGCAAGAGGGGGGAGGGGGAACACCCCTCAAAGACGCGGGTGCGAGGGTCACCACAAGAGGCTCCTACAGCGACTATGCTCTTCTCGGCTGCTAGGAGGCGCTCCTCGAGGAGGTCAACGGTGAGTGTGGTGGGGCAAACTGAGAGGAAGTGGTCCCTGACTAAGCAAAGAGAGTCAGGGAGCCTGGTGACTATGTAGTAGAGGGTGATGTACATGGGGGGGGGGGGGTTCTTGGCGCAGATTCAGTGGGAAGCGCAGCGTGGTAGCGAGTGTCACTAGTGCGGAGGTGCATAATGAGGTCAGCGACTGTCGGAAAGGCAGCAAGGTCAGAGAAGAGGTACGGTAGCATGAGGCGGCTCAGTGCAGCAGTGGCAGGGTAAGACTAGCGTGCAACTACAGCGTCGTACAAGGTCTGAGCACTATTTTCTGGCTAAAGTGCGCACGCTCTGTGGTCGGTAAGTGGCGACGCACAGCAAGACGGGCAGAAGCATTTCGTGTCGCCCACTGTGAGCGAGCAAGGCTGTCAGCAGTAGCAGGCGGGGCAGGGGAGGCACCAGAGGTGAGGTCGAACAGGGAGAGGCCGTCTGCCCTAGCGCTCTAGAGGAACAGCAGGAGGTCATTGACCCAGACCTCAAAGTCAACAGCACGGCCCTCAGTATCAAAGGTAAGAACACTGGGGGTAGCCATGACTGCAGTGGCCTAGCAAGGAGTGAGCTCACCAGTCCGAGTAAGTAGGGCAGGGGCGCGCCGGTAGGACGAGGAGCGGCTCCACGGCAGAGCGGCTCAGCTGCTCAGCGGCTCGGCTGCTGGGCGGCTCGGCTATCGAGCGGCTCGGCGGTTCGGTTGCTGGGCAGCTCGGCGGCTCGGCTGCTGGGCGGCTCGGCGGCTCGGTGGCTTGGCGGCTCGGCTGCTGGGCGGCTCGGCGGCTCGGTTGCTGGGCAGCTCGGCGGCCTGGCTGTTGGGCGGCTCGGCGGCTCTAGTGCTCGGCTGCTCGGTAGGGGCGGCGTTGGGGCCGCTAGGGGCGGCGACGGGGCCGCTTACGGAGGGGAGCGGCGACGGGGCTGTGTAGTGGCGGCGACAGGGCCGCTTGGAGGCGGCAACAGGGCCGCGTAGGGGTGGCAACGGGGCTGCTTAGGGGCAGCGACGGAGCCGCTTAGGGGCGGCGACGAGGCCACTTAGGGTGAGAGGCGGCGACGGGGCCGGTAGGGGCGGCGATGGGGCCGCTAGGGGCGGTGACGGGGCCGCGTATGGGCGGCGACGGGGCAGTGTAGGGTGAGAGGCGGCGACGGGGCTGATAGGGGCGGCGACGTGGCCGCTAGGGGCGGCGACGAGGCCGCGTAGGGGCGGCAACGGGGCTGCGAGGGGCGGCGACGGAGCCTCTAAGGGCGGCAACAGGGCTGCGTAGGGGCTGCGACGGGGCCGCGTAGGGTGAGAGGCGACGACAGGGCCGCTAGGGGCGGCGACAGGGCCGCTAAGGGCGGCGACGGGGCCGCGGAGGGGCGGCGACGGGGCCGCGTAGGGGCGGCAACAGGGCCGCGTAGGGTGAGAGGCGGGGACGGGGCCGCTAGGGGCGGCGACGGGGCCGCGTAGGGGCAGTAACGGGGCCACGTGAGGGGCGGCGACGAGGCCGCTAGGGGCCACTAGGGGCCTGGAAAGGGCGGCAAAAAAAAGGCGCGCCTCGGGCAGGAGCGAGTGGCGCTCCGGTCAGAAAGGAAATTTTCAGTGGTGGGCCCAAGGAAGTGTTCCCACTAGGGAACCTGCTCTATACCATGTGAAGAATGAGGAATGAATGAACTAGCAAGCAGGTGGGTACAAGTAGGAAAACCTAGAAGTGTTGTACCCCATATAGTCTACCCCACTACAGCCTACACAGACTATAGTATAAGAGTTTGGCACTCCAAGCCTCTTAGTCTCTTCGAGCCTCCGGTTCTGAGGCTTGGCTCTATATGGGTCGGTCGAGGGGAGCCGGGGAGGAGGACCACGCGCCTAGTGGGGGTTCCAGGTGAGAGGGTACTGTGTGCGCTGATGCTAGTAACGTGTGAGCTACAAGGGAAGACGCAGGGAGGAGGACTGCGCTTCTGGTACTGCACTTGAGATTTGATACTAACGGGTGTGCTACTAGGGAATAAGCAGGGAGGAGGACCATGCCACTAGTGAGGGTCCAGCCAGGTTGGTAAGTGGTGCTCCGTAAGCTGTATTGCATGTTGCTGGTGCTAGTAACGGGTAAGCTAATACAGAATCCGAAGGGAGGAGGATCATCTTCGTCCTAATGGAGGATATATCACATACGTGAGGGGGGTACTGTGTTGTATGGCATGTTGCTGGTGCAGGTAACGGGGGAAGCAGCAGGGAAAGCTCAGGTTTCCCCTTCCTCTTTTCATCCCTTTCCTTCCCATTCTCGCTTCCCCCTCCCCCTCCCCATCCCCTTCCCCTTCCCCCAGACCCAACCGCTGCCGCTATGCCACCACAAGTTGGCAAGACGCCATGAGGGGGTAGCAGCGGGGAAATTTTCCCCCTCTCATTGCCCCTTTCCTCCCCAAATCCCCCCCCCCCTTCCCCCCATGCCCGTCCCCTTCCCCCAGACCAAAGCGCCGCCGCTATGCCACCACAAGCTGGCAGGACGCCGTGGGGGGAGGTAGCAGCGGGGGGGGGGAGGCGCAGGAGCGGGGGGGGAAGGCGCAGGCGCAGCGGCAGGGGGCGGGGGGGGGGATCGGGGGGAGGGGGGGGGGCAGGGGGAACAGGGGGGGGGCGCGCGGAAGGGGGTGTATCACTGCAACTACTGCCACAGAGATGTGACGGGGGAGGTGCGCGTGAAGTGTGCGGCGTGTGTGGACTTTGACCTCTGCGCTGAATGCTTCTCCATGGGCACCGCTGCTCACCCGCACTCCGCCTCGCACCCCTACCATGTCATGGTGAGTGGCTGGAGGGGCTGAAGAGGGAGGGAGATGGAAAGGAAGGGGGAATAGGAGGGTGAGTGGGAATGGCCGCCGCTGCCCACCCCCACAGGCCCTCCCACCCCTACCACGTCATGGTGAGTGGGTGGGGGGGAAGAGGGAGGGGGAGGCGGTAGAGAGACGGGGGGGGTTGTGGGGGGAAACGGATGGAGAAGGGGGAAGCGGTAGGAGGTGCTGCTGCTCACCCGCACAAGCCCTCCCACCCCTACCACGTCATGGTGAGTTGAGGGGGGAGGAGGGGGAATGTGAGATGAAATGGGACGAGGAAGGTAAGGGGGAAAGGGTGCTGCTGCTCAACCCCACAAGCCCTCCCACCCCTACCTCGTCATGGTGAGTGGGGAGGGGGAGGGAGAGGAGGAGTGGGAGGGGGTAGCGGGGGGGGGGAAGGGGAGGGAGAGGGTGATGGGGAGAGGAGAGGGACAGGGAGGGGATGGGGAGGGGGAAGCTCAGGGTGGTGAGTGTGATGGGAAGGGGGACGGGAGGGGAGTGGGGGGGAAATGGACAGCTGCGATAAAGACATGATGTCCACTGTTCTGTCCTTTGCCTGTGTCAGCCTGCTCCTAAACACATGCCACTTTGAGTTGACGTGTAAGTGCCAGTCTGCATGGACGTATTCTTACTGTGCCCAACCCACACCACCAGGACACGATGAGCTTCCCTCTTGTCCGTGAGGACTGGACTGCTGACGAGGAGATGCTGCTGCTCGAGGTGAGCCACGCTGCCTTGCTTGCCGTTACGGTTCTTCCTTTGTAGAAAGAGCCAACCAGCTTACATGTTGTTCAAAAGGTTACGATGAGCTTCCCTCTCGTCCATGGGGACTGGACTGCTGACGAGGAGATGCTGCTGCTCGAGGTGAGTATTTGTTATATTTCGTGTGTTTGTTTTATTTTAGCATTGAAAATAATTTTGTTGACAAAAAAAACAAAACCAAAAACAAAAACAAAACAAAAAACTTCTAACCGAGAGAGACGGGGGGGGATTAGCCTCTCATTTCATTCTTCAGTTCATACTGAAAATTTCAGCGTTGCTCGTTCGAGGGAGCGAGAGAGAGAGGATTAGCCTCTCCCCCTTCTACCCTCTACCCTCAGCCTTCAGCCCTCTTCCATGAGTACTTAAGGGCCCTCGTGGCCTATTCACTCTCATTCTTCAGTTCAAACTGAAAATTTTGGCGCTTCGCGCCGGCGCTCGCGTGCGCGGCCTTCGGCCGCGCGCTAGCGGTGGCAAGTCGAGAAAGGTAGTAGGTAAGCAAATGGCTACATCAAGGGGAAGCAGCACCAACTAGACAAGAAAGCATGGAGTGGGTCTACACCCGTGCAAGGGGGGCGCCTACATGCGGTCCGCCTCAAGCTCACCAAGCATTTCGCGCGTGGTCTGCCACATCTGACGGACCACTGACGCGGTGGTGCCGACAACGTCAACGGGAGTTCCACGCATTGCTACAAGCGTCCTCCGATCCAGGGCCCTCTCAGCCAGGAGGGTAGCCGAGACTACTCCCGGTGAGGGCGCAACCTGTAGTGGCGATACGTACAAGAATAGTGCTGACGCCGCCACGTGACACCTTGCTCGCGGCATCTAAGAGAACGTGCACGGTGGGGTCTCCAACATGGAGCCATGCGACTCCTGGAGAATCAGCTCAAGACTCTGCAGGCACTCCACCAGCGACCACAAGTGAGCCAGGGTCGCCGTGGGCTCTTCTTTCATCGGCTGAAGGACAACAGCGGTGCGAGCATGACGAGACGACACGGCGAGATCTCGCGGGGGGGGGGGGGGGGGGGGGGGGGGGGGGGGGGGGGGGACGAGGACGGGGCGGAGCAAAGTGGGCCCAGGGATCCCCTCCACCCGTGCCCACGAAGCCAGTTCCTGCGGGCAGCAGACGGCCAAGACGCACCAGAGACCCCACTGGGTTGTGCGGCAGGAGAGCAGTGAGGGGAGCGACAGGTGCAGCTAGGGGCGCTGTGTGAGAAGACGACTCAGCGATCGAGCGGTGGAGCGCCTTCTCCACGCCGTCCAATTTCTGGAGAACGCGCTCCATTGCGGACGTTGCTTAACGCGTTGTTCCGCCTCGACCATAGCCCCCCCGCCGCCCACGGCCACTTGCATTCGAGCGCGCGGGCGATTGCGGGCGAGACGGCATGCGCTGGCGCAGGCAGTCTCGAGATCGGCCCCCGTGACGAGGAGAGTAGAGTCGCTGGCGCTTTGACGGCCGCGGCGAACGTGCAGACAGGGACCGATGGCGAGAGGCGTGAGGAGCAGGCGATCGGTGACGCATCGAATGGCGACCGGGTGAATGGTGACAACGTGACCGACGGTCTCGAGATCGGCTCCTCGATGCCCCGCGGCGAGGCAAACGTGGCGAGCGTGGCGATGGCAACGACCATGGAGATCAAGGCTCGGCGTGACGTTCCACACAACGGCTCTCCTGCCCGCCGCCACGCACCACCGTTGAATGGCGACGAGGCGAATGCTCCCGGTGCGCCGCAGCCACCGCGCTGGAGCGCACGACGAACTCCGTGCGCGCAGGCACCTGTCCGCGCCGCTGATCCTCGAAGTGGCGCCGGATCTGATCAGTAGTAGCTAGCGGAGCAACAGGGACGCTCAAGGCAGGACGCGCAGGAGGAAGTGGACGAGGAGCGAGTTCGCTCACCGCGGAATATCCGCGGCCAGGAGCGGCAATTGGATCCATCGGATCAACGGGAGGGTGGAGCACGATCAAAAGCCGCTGCAACCTTCTCAGCACCGAGGAGGTCGACTACAGTAGCAGCTGAGGCGTAGGAGGGGGCAAGAGGGGAGGGGGAGCACCCCTCAAAGAGGGGAGTGCGTGGAGTGCCACGGGCAGCACCTACAGCAAGGACGTTCTTCTCTGCTGCTAGGAGCTGCTGCTCGAAGTCGGCTAGCGTGATAGTGGTAGGGTCCTTGGCAAGGAAATGGTCCCTGACCGAGCTAAGAGTGTCAGGGATGGGAGTCGCGAGGATGTAGAGGGTAAAGTACAACGGTGGGGTGTTCGTGGCGAGGAACTCGTCGGTAAGAGCGGCACGAAAGCGGGCGTCACTAGCGCGGAGGTGAGAGATGAGGTCCTCAGCGGTGGTAAACAAGGGCAGGTCGGGGAACAGGTAGGGCAGGATGAGGCGTCCTACGGCTGCAATGGCTGGGGAGGAACAGCGCGCAACTACAGCGTCATACAACGCCTTAACAGTCTTGTGCTGACTAGAATTCGTGCACTCAGTGATCGGCACGTGGTTACGGATAGCGAGGCGCACAGCAACATGGCGATTCTGCCGCTGTGAGCGGTCAAGAACAGGATCAGTGGCAGTAGGGGCAGCAGCAGTGCCTGACGCGTGATCGAATAGAGAAATGCCGTCTTTGGCATCGGTCATAAGAAATAGTTGCAGGTCGTCAAGCCAAGTGGCAAACTCCATCGGGCGACCGTCAGGCTCAAACGCGAGAACGTTAAGCGTCGCCATTACAGCAGCGTAGGCAAAGGCAGCAGACCACAGCAGCTATCAGGCTCACAAGTCAGGCTGGCGCAATGGATGCAAGGCGCAAGGCAGGCAGGCAGACGAGCAGGTAGGCAGGCAGGCTAGTAGGCAGGCAGGCAGGCCGGCAGGTGCAAGGCAGGAAGGTGCAAGGCAAGGCAGGCGCAAGGCAGGCAGGCAGGCCGCAAGACTCAAGGCAAGCAGGCAGGCCGGCAAGTGTAAGGCAGAAGGGTGCAAGACAAGGCAGGCGCAAGGCAGGGCAGCAAGTGCGCATGGCGAGGCGGCAGCGTGCAGGCAGGGCAGAGCGCAGCAGCGACAGCCTGCACGGGGCTGCAAGCTGCGCACGGCTGCGGGCTGCTTGGGGCGACGTGCTGCGCGCGGTTGCAGGCTGCGCGCAGCGGCGGGCGGCGGGCTGCGCGTGGCAACGGGCTGCGCGCGGCTGCAGGCTGTGTGCGGCGTCGGGCGGCAGGCTGCGGGCTGCGCGCGGCTGCAGGCGACGGGCGGCTGAGGCGGGCAGCGCGACGCACTAAGCTGCAGTGGGCCGTTCGCGAGGTGCAGCAGACACTTGAAGCATTTCAAGTGCTCCATGCCCTGGGCAGTGATGTGATCTGGCACGCTGGCCCATGTCAACTTTGACAGGGGCACGAGATGGGCTAACCCGTCATTGTGCACCCTCAAAGTACTGATATCCAGTGCTTCGAGATTCGTCAGCTTCCCCACGTGCACCATGCCAGCTGATGATGTATAGCCTACTTGGCTATATGAGGGGTAGTCATAGCCATTAGAAAGAACAAGAACGGTGAGAGAGCTAAGGCGTGTCAGATGTGCAAGGCCAGCGTCTGTAACCTCTGTCGAGATCAGTTCAAGTCGACGGAGGGATGTCAAGTTGCTAATTTGCGGAACCAAATAATCACACCAAACTTAGTTTTTGAGTTTCAGCTCCTCCAACCATGTTATGGTGTCAAGGGGCTTTTTCAAGTCACATAAGTCGACATTCTGGGAAATCTTGAGGCTCTTTAGGGAGGTCAAGTACCATAGGTGTTGAATTCCAAGCCAAGTAGCTCCTCCAACGTCCTTGCTGAGCTCCAATACCGAAATGTTAGCGGGGTGATACATGATCTTCCAATCTGCACTGTTACGACTCCGATATCCAGTCGCATAAATAGCCTGGAAACATCAACACCTTGGAGATTAGTCAGGCAGACGGTGCACGAGCACCCAACATGCTAGTTTCTCACCTCCCTGACTTTCTTTGTTTCCTCTTTTTGCTGCTCCAACGTCTTTACAGCATGCGCAGACTGCGCTACCAATGTAGACACAAGTGATTCCATCTCCTTGCTTATAAACCGTCCTTCATCCTAAGGAACCGTACCAGTCGTTGACAGGGCTGACGTTTCATATTAGGCCTCCCTGATTCCGGGGAAAAAATTTCCCCTCTATTATGAGTGCACATTTTTCAGAATAATGCTACTCTGATTGCTCAGGGTTGAAAAGTATATAACTCTGATTGTTCAGGGTCGAAACTCGAGGATCAGAGTAGTAACGCGCCCTTTGTTACAGGGGGAAAAAAGTTTCACCCCGCACGATTCCATCACAACGCGACATCATTTCGTGCACACCTCGTGCGCTTTACTTTGTGACCCGTTAATTTTGTTTAATTAGTATATCTCCATACGTTTTAGCGCGGGGAAGAAACGAGCAGTTTCGGTCCACCAAACAGTTCGGTACCAAAGATGTGCCAAGATTTCCTATTCGCTGATTACTCGCGATTAGCCAACTTCATTGTGCGAAACGCAAAAAATGTGTTGATAACTTCACGCACACGTAATTTCGACAATACGACCGACATCTTCGACTTCTGTAACACTAACATACATAGAGTGTATTCACCTGTCAGACATGTTGCCGCGCGATGCTTACGCTGTTGCTGTACTACGACCAATCCGAAGGCGAGGTTATCGGCAGAAAATTTCCGAGAAACTTCTTTCCGATTTGGTCAAATTCAGGGTCCACAGAACGCGTACTCTACATTGACAGAGTCAGTAAGAACACTACTCTGAGCCTAGATACAATATTTCAGGGTTCGCTAAAGCACTATTCTGAATGGATCAGTGTTCACAAGTCAGAAATTCTGAAATTGCAGGGTCCACCAAGTGAGAAGCCTGTAATCACCCTGAAATCAGGGTAATTACCCTGATATCGTCAGCCCTGGTTGTTGACTGACACAAAGTCCGTGAAATCGCCTAGAACAAGCACATCGTAGACCAAAAAAAATGTTAAACATGGGGTGAGTGGGCATCGTATGGTTTGCGCTTGGGTAACATGCTTGGAGATGTTTTGGCTCACCTCCCAAATCTTGCTCGTTTCTTCCTTCTGATGCGACAGAGATTCCTTTGCATGCGAGAGTCGCACTATCAGTGCAGCCACCTCCTTTTCCTTTTCCACCCTTGCAGCCTTCTCAGCTGCTAACTCATTCTTGAGCTCGTTTATGCTGTCGATGTTCTCCTCCCTCGTATCTTTTAATAGTTTCTTCAGCTTTTCCAATCTATCAGTCAGCATTGGGCTCTCCATGATTTCCGAAAAAATTCTCTGTCGCTATTCCGTTTCCAACTCCCTCCTTGCATCATCGAATCGAACGGCTATCTTTGTCCCTACACTCATAATCTCCTCCAGAAGCCTTGCAGTTGCCGTCGCCATTGTGAACTCGACTCGCTTGTTGGCAAGAGGAAGAGCCGACGAGCTTGGTGAGGAGAATGATCAGCAAAAACGATAACTTTTGCATGAGGAAACTAGATTTCGACGGTACTTATTCTTTCTCGGCGTCGGCGAAACTTTGCCCAAGAGACGCGACGAAGAAGAACCTGGATCCGCGAGAGCAGCAACCATTCCAAATCCCCGCCGTGCGGACTTTACAACCAGCGCACAGCCCATCTGAGCAAAAAACAGATTATTATTCGCGCTGGGCGTACGACGCGTCTCGCCAGATTCGTCATTTTCGCTGCTCTTCAGGCAAGAGGATGGCATGAACAAGGCGTAAATAAGGCGTGAACAAGGAGAAAATACGGAAGGCGTGAAGAAGGCGTGGATTAGGCGTGAACCTGGCAGCGTGTTCCCCGCTGGTCGTCAACATGTGTGGGGGACAAAACCTTGTTATAATCAGTGAGTGGAATGTCTCTATAGGATTGCACATTGCGACTTGATGTCTAGGTTTCGGTACAATCAATCCACTGATGTCTTGCTATCAACCACCAAGAATGTGAACATTCTAGGAATTTAGCAATTGATACACCTCAGAACACAGAAAAACACTAACTGATACCAGTAGATGTGAGTACATAGTGGCTTTGGCAATTAGATGTTGCTTGCTTCACCACCACCCAAACCGGCAGCTTCAGCTATTCAGCCAGCCCCTGGCAAATGCCTGAAATCTACGTCAGTGGCGGCAGGGGGCAACCTGATCTCACATGCCCTCTTGCTTCACCATCCCTCCTTCCATCGCCCCTCCCATCCCCCCACCAGAAATGCTCCCCCCAGCTTCAGCCATCCAGCTAGCCCCCAG